TATAATAATCACAGATATTAATCCAATAATCATTTCAATAACTTTTGTTATGTTTTGAGTTAGAATAGAATCTAAAAGTATTTTTAAATATTAAAAAAACGAATAAAAAATGTTCAAAATTATTGAGTTGATTGTTCCGATTGAATAGCAGATTCTGGGGCATTGAATTTTTCAAGAATAGTATTAATTTTATTTGTAATTTGTTCGTCACGTAATGGGTTTAGTCTTTGTAATAATTCCATTAATGGTTTACTCTTTTCAGCCAATTCTATTGCATAATTGAAATCATTAATTTCAGCCAATAATTTGACACGCTCTTCAGTTGATTCAAGTTTATTCAAAAAAATATCTCTTTCAGTTTTCAATTTCATGTCATGAGCAACTTTTACAAAACAACTCCATGGTAAAAGAGTTTTCTTTAAATCAACATATTTACTTAATCGTTCTCTTGCTTCTGGATTCCCTTCTGACATTTCACTAATAACTGTTAGTTCTGCTCGTAAAACCATTTTATCAGAACATCCAGTTTCTTTTTTAATTAATTCTATGTCTTGTGGATTATAATTAATATTTTGAAGAATGTCACATAACATTGTAAATACTGACTTCATTAATTTGGGTTTTCTAGCTTCTCTTCTACCATTTGCATTTTTTTGTTGTTCTTGTACTTTAGATTCAAAATCTGCTGATTTGAATTTTTCAGCAATAACAGCATTTTGTTGAGCAGTTTGAATGACAATATCATTTCCTCTTTGGTTATTATAATAATAAAACCATTCTCCATCAGTTTTATCAATAGAATATTTTAATGGTAAATTAGTATTTTCAAAATTTCTGAAAAAGAAGTTTTCTAATGAAAGAATATTTGTTCTACAAAACATTTCACTCATTGGATTTTTCATTGCAAATAATTCCCATGATGTAAGATATCTCCATAATAAACGAGAACCATCTAATTGAGTCATTTCATCTAATTTTTCCCGAAATTCTTCTGGAAAACGTTCTCTTAATGTTCCATTAGTTAATTGAACATCACTAAATGATTTATTAATAAAACCACTAATAGTAGCAAGTTCTTCCTTCTTTTCTGAAACAACACAAGCTTTGTTTTCAAAGTTTTTCTTGAAAAAATAAAAAATTGTTCTTTGGTCATAAAAGAATACTGATTCTAGGAAAATTGCACAAATAATTGGACCATTTGAATACCGTTCATCATGTAATAATGATTTAACAATGAAAGAACGACAAACATTATTAATATTAGATAAAAATAGTAATACATCAACGCTTGGAGAACGAACTGCCTCAGAAAGTACTTTGATCAAATAGTCATTACTTAATAATTGCATACGTTGTTTAATTAATTCTAAATCTGTTTGACACCCTTCCTCTAAATTATCTGTAAATCCAACAAATTGAAGTTTTCTTGAACACCATCTTGCTAAAACTGGATATTTGCTTATTTTTAATTGTTCACACCATTTAATACATAATGAAAATTCATCCATAGAAATTAACAAAGATTGTATTGGGTGATGATATACCTCAGTACAAAAAAGAACTTCATGATTAGTGTGTCTTCCAAATTTATTTTTTCCACGTTCAGTTCTTGCTAAAATTAAATATTGATAATAAGCCATTAATATTCCATGTGAACTAAATGTTTTTAATGTACGGCAAGCATGACAAGCAGATGTATAGATGTTATGTTTCTCTTTGAGAATATCTTTGTCTGAAATAAATGGAAGGAAATAAGAAATACATTTTAATAGTTTGTCTTGAAGTGGATCTAATGGAGATAACATTACTGCCGATGATGCTAAATTATCAATTCCAAAATAAAGTAATTTTGTTTGGATAGACTGACGTTTTTCATTATCTAATGAAATGTCCTGATATAATATAGGAAGAATAAGTGCAGTTAATTCATGTTCATATACTTTTAACATTTCAAAAGCACAATACTTAATATGAATGGCCATATTTGGGTTTGATTGATTAATTTCTTTTTCAATATCTTTTAAAGGACAGCCTGATAAAAGATCTTGCATTTGCTCAAGAATAATTGAAAACACTTTTATATAAAATTTATTATTTTTTGAATAAATAATTCGGAGAGTTGACTTATCTTCACCAACAAAATATACTTCATCATATCGTTTAAATAAATGTGTTGATTCTTGTGTTTTTAAAAAGTACTTTGTTACATCAAATGCATTTGGAGATTTTTGAAAGAGAAAACTATCTACTCCAATAAAATAAAATAAGCCATGTGCAAATAATTCATCTCTATTGTATGTTGTTTTATTTCCAATTATACTTAATTTAAGTTCTCTAGGGAAATATGAAAATGATTGAAATTTAAGTATTTTATCATCAGTTTTATCACTTTGACATAAAATAACCATTGTGCCATTAGCATTAACAAAACAAGACTCAGTTTTATTAAAATCATTATATATTTTACTGTTTCGATACATTTTAACGTTATTACATGCTCCATCTTTCATATTAATGTGAGTCACTTTTTCTCCATAAAAACTAAGACATTTAACTGAGTCATCAGCAACATTATACCACATACAAACACAATCAGCAACACAACCAACTTCTTTTCTTTTAATTTGAATATCACTTTTATTAAAAGAAATGTCCATACACACAATTTTATTAGTTGATAAAAACATTGAACATCCATAATCATAAAACATTATAGTCTTAATATCAGCCTCTTTTGTATCTATAATATCTTTTTCTAAACATTCTCCATCTAAATTATATAAATAAAATTTTAGTCCATAAGTTATAATCATAACGTGATAATTTAATGTCCATCCAAGTTCTTTAATGGTGTCTCCTGGATCAATTTCATTTACACGAAATTCTTTTAACCATTTTCCATTTCCTCTAAATACTTTAATCAATGGAATATTAACATCTGTAACTAATGCCCGTGGTTTTTTTATTCCTAAAATTGGTCCTCCTCCATGTGAAGCAATTATACGAATATCTTTTTCTTTTAACATATCAACTTTATCAACATCGTTTTCATACATTAAAAGTTCTTGAAGAAAGTTATTTTCAACTGTTTCAACCATTTTGATATATTTTTTCCAATATTTCTAGATTCTCTTTTTTTAAGTTCTTTTCTTTTTTGTTTATTAAATAAAAATATAATTTGTTTTTTAAACCAATTTTTGAATTAAACCATCAGCATATCCAACATACATTGCACTAAAATCATCTGCTATTGTGAAGCACGTAATTTCACTACTATGAACACTACATGTTTTTAATAATTTTGGAGTATGTTCATGGGTATTACAACTACCATTACCGAGACATAATGTTTCATCTAACCTCCATACTTTTATAGACCCATCTTTATGAGAAGTAATAAACACATGACAAGGAATCCATTCTGGAATACGAGCAAAATATGCGTCTGTTGGAACTTGGCTTAGTTCAGCTCGTTGAATTAATTCACCGTTTATTGTCCAATGTTTAAAATCTGTATCACTGACAGTAACAATTTCACCTGTCTCATGTTGTATTTTAATGAGTGTAATACAAGCATGATGTTCAAATGACCGAATAATTTTAAATGAATGTAAATCCCAAATACTAATACATCCCATTTCATCACCACTAACTATTATTGAATAATCTTTACTAATACAAAGTGCTGTAACAGCAACCTTATGTCCTCTAATTCTTCCTATTTGTTTTAATGAAACACTACAATCAAAAACACAAATCATTCCAGCTTGTCCTCCAGTAATAACAATATTACCACATACACTACAAACAATTTTTCCAGGTGGATGAACATTTTCAATAACACCTAGAACTTTTCCATTTTGATATATACTAAGTGTTCCTTCTTCATTCCAATTTAACACTTTATTTCCTTTTTCAATTGGTATTCCACTTGCTAACCCATTAAAATTCTGAACAGAAACAGAAATAGCTTTAATTGGATAAGAATAATTTTTAATCATTAAAACATTCCAACTATCAGAAAGTAATATTCCATATGTAAATAGAGTTTTTAATGTATTTCTTTTTGGGTGGGGTTGTTTGAAAAGTTGAATTGGGGTTTGTCCAAAATTAATAATCATATCTTCATAAGCTGCTTTTAATTTAGGATCATCAACATTTTTCATATCAATACCTCCTTCATATGATGATGGATGAAATAAGTTTAGTGCTTTAATTGCTGGTTCACCAGTTTGTTTAAATCCAAAGATAAGATCAATCCATTCGTTAAGATGTTGACTAACAATAGGTGATTCTAATGCCATCATATTTGTTCTAACAAATTTTCTATATGATCCTTTTGCCCATGGAGGAAGTACAACATTATCTACTTGAATAGTTCCTTCATTTCTTTTCTTTAAATCAAAGTGGTCAAAGTTTTTCAAAAATTCTGGGAAATAAAAGAATTCTGGTATAAGTTCCATTACTTGTTTTACTGTTGGTCCAGTTAATAATTTCCAAAGATCTTCTAAACTATTGAATAATCTATCTGCCCTATCAAATTTACCTCCTTGTAATTCAATTCCAAAATGAGAAAATGGTTCACATCTAATAAGATAATATAATGTTACTCCTACACTAGTATAATGGCTTCCATAATGAAATGCCATTTCTGGATTATCTTTAACTGCTTCATATCGTTCTAAGGTATTTTCTGCACGTTCTGGTGTTAATGCCCCAATTGGTTTAGATAAATCTCGATAAATATGAGGATTTTTTAGGTCAAGTTCTTGACTAGAATAATCAGAAATAACCCATGGCATTACAGGATATTGTGTCACATCATTAAATGTTCTTCCTGCCTTTGTATTTAAATACATTAAATAATGGAAATTTGATATTTTACCATCAATCCATTTTTGAGTCATTGGATCAACTTGATTGAATAGCTTTAATGGAACTAATCGTTTCTTTTCTTCATGAATTCCAGATGTCATATCTGCTTCTTTTTGTCTGAATGGAGAGAGTGCTTTTATAACTGCTTCATACCCTTCTTCAAATACAATGAGTTTATTTCTACCAGTTGATGTAAATATTTCAACTGCAATGTTTCGTAACATAAATCTTCTAGATGCAATATTTTGAATATCTTCACTTGGTATTCGTTCAGTTTTTACAATTCCTTTAGCAACTAAGACTTCCCTTCTAAGTTCCAATCCTTGTACAATATAAATTGACTGTGTACATACAACAAATATTCCTGGTAATTTATTCATTCCAACAACTAAGTTACAATTAAATTTTGATTTTATTTCATCCCCCTTTTCTACAAAGTTTAAATTACTAGTTGAAGTTTCAACTGTTGTTTTCATCATATTATATAAATCATCTTCATATGTTGCTGTTGAGGCTCTTCTCTTTCTCATTGGATCCTTGAAGTCTGGCATTGGACTATTAGGAGTTCTTGAAAATGTTTCTGCTACTTCTATATCGTCCATAACAGTTAGATATTCTGGTAATTCATAACTTCTTTCTTGGTGTCTTTCTTTAAGTTGGACATCAATATATCCATCATGTTCTTTTGTTTTATATCTCTCGAAGAAGTCAGTATCATGAATTAATCTTTTTCTCATTCTACATGGACCTTCAACATTGTCCAATGTCCATTTTCCTTCTTCTTGTTTATGCCATATTCCATTCTCTAAAAATAAACATTCTGCAAATGATTCCCAAACTCCTTGACTTTGTGCATGAAGAGCTCTAAAATGTTCATTTCGTTGTTCTGCAGCATCTTTAAGTAATACTGATACCCTTGCTCTAACTTGTCTATTCTTTTGTTGAATCCTTCTGATACTTTCAATTCTTTGAGCCTCCGACTGTTCATTTAAAATAATTCTATCCTTTCTTCTTTGTTCTATTGGACCTTTGACTAATGCCAATTTTCCTGATTCATCAGTTATCCATTGAGTAGATTGTTTTAATAAACATTCGTTATCTGCTTTTAACATTTCATCTTTATTTTGAAGGAGCCATTCACAAATTTGTTTTGATGTCATTTGATGAGAAGAATTTAACCATTCAATTATCTTGATTTTTGTTTGGAAAATTCTTGAAATTAACAATCCCCTTTTATTTGAAACTATACTTAAAAGTGTGCTTAACATTTGTTGAGTAGTTCCATTTGTTTGATATATATTTCTAATTAATGAATGAAGTAACATATAAATGAATTGTTCATTATAGTTAATATCATTAAATATAATGTCGATGTCTTTATTTATAATTTCTAAAGTACTTTCAAGTTCTGAGTCAATTCTACGATCAAATAATAATAATATAATTCTGTCTAATGCTTCATATAACGGATAAATTGATCGGGTCTTTTTTCCTGATAATTGAGCAATCTTAATATATTTTATAACATCTCTCATAATATTAACCAAATCTTCGTTAGGTGTGATATTTGTTAATATAAAATCTACTCTTCCATTAACAAATGTTGCAATTATAGGTGCAACTCTATCAAGATTAACCTCTCCATTAAATTGATTTAATACAGAATTACCTATGGCTTGTAAAATATTCATCATAAAGATTTCTTCTTCTTCATCTCTTAAGAATGAACTATTTTCATATAATAATTCATGTGCTATAATATTTTTATTTCCAATTTGAACCATTTGAAAAGCAAAAGCATTTCCTAAAGCAACAATATGTCTTTGGAATAATGGTTCAAGTGGATGACCCATTTTGAAATAACCATTTTTATCAACTAATATTGATATATAATCATTTAAACATTCATTAAATACATAAGTAGCTATTTCTTGTTGTTCCATTAATGTTCTGATTATACTTCCAGTGAATTGAACTAAATTCATCATATCAACTGTAGAATCTGTAGCGACTTGAAGTTGAACAATTTGAAATCTAAGTAATTTTAATAATGACGATATATATTCTGGTGATTGGATTGAAACAGTTGAAAATGGCATTTTTTGATATTGTTCAAATGAATCAGAAACAATATCAGGAACAACTTGACATGTAATTAAAGCTAACAATACATAAACAACATCAATTGATTCAGTACAACGAGGTAATTGAAAATTAATGAATATAATTCCTTTTTCTTTATTAAATTGATTTACAAAAAGTTGTTTTGTTTGAGAACCAACAGCCATGAATGATGCACATAACTTCATAACAGCAATAACAATATTTATTGGTAATGACTGAAGTGATAACATATGAAACAAAATACTTGGTGTAAATATAGATAATAACGTTGTTTTATCTTTCAAATTAGTTGATAAGAAATTGATTAATTTAATTAAAGAAATACACCTTAATTCTGACTTTTGAATTAGAAGTGATGTTGATTGTTTGTCATCCATTACAGAAATAAAATGAATTAATAATCTAACTAATAACTTTAAATCATCACCAGTACAACTATGAAGTAAGAAATATTGTAATAAATTAATAATAATTTGAATAACTCCATCATCAATAGTATCGTCTTGAAACAAATCAATTAGTCTAGACAAAAAATGTAAAGAACGTAAAATATTAATATTGATTTGTGCATATTTATTATTATAAATTAACGAAACAAATGACTGAAGAATAAATAAAAATGTTGTTTGTGGATCTTCCATTCTATGAAACAATGAAAAGTCTAATATTAATATGTCAAAAGCATTTGGTGAAGAAATTACAGCAGAATCTTTCTTTGTAGGATCAACACCAGAAAATAATAATAATGTCATAATAGACTCTGTTGTAACTAAAGATGGTTTTCGATAAATAAAAAGATTTAATAAATCAAAACCATGACATTGTTTCATTTCTTCAAATAAATCTTCTGATTTTCTTAATGAATAAAGAAGTAATTTTAATGATAAATCAAATTTTATCTTTGTATCTGACTTTAATATTAATGCCAATAATAATGCAATTCCTCCTACTTTATAAATTCCATCTGTAATATCATGAGGAGATGCTAAATTTACTGTTCCAAATGCAATACATGAATTTAAAGCATAAGGAGTTAATATACGATCTGTATTAATAATAATAGATTGTTCTGGAATATTTAAATTAAATGTTGAATAAGTTAATGATTTTATATTAGTAAAACTTTGAATTACATTGATGTCATTTGAATCATAATTTGGTAAAACTTCATATCTTGAATAATCAATTGTTTGGAAACTTCCTTGATACATTTCTCCTAATAAATATAACTCTCTAATTTGCTGATCAGAAAATGGATATTCCAACATTTTCAATGGTCCTATTTTAAAAACTGCATTTGGTATTACTTTATTTTCTTTTGAATGTCCAATAACACAACGATATGGAGTTGGAGTATAATTTATTAATTTAGCTGTTGATTTTAATAATCCATTAATATATAATGTAATCTTCTTTCCTTTTCCTACTAAAACAATATGATTCCATTTTCTTGGTAATGGCATATTATCAAATATTACCTTTGAACCGTATATAACTCTTAACCCACTTGGATTCATAATTAATTGCAAAAAACTTTGCTCTGATCCATTTATATTTTGATAAATTTGAAATAAAGATAATTCACTAACAACTGGTGGTAAATTTACCCATGTTGTAATACTCCATTGTTGTAAGGGAAATTGTGTTGTATCTACTGGAATAGATAAACATGAATATCCATTTGGTGCTGTGTTAAAACTTAATGCTCCATTTCTATCTGCTTTAATTGTTGAGTTTAATAAACATTTTAATACACCTTCATCATAAGGTTGTTCTTTTAATGATTTCATTAACACTGAAACATCTTCTATTTCTACACCATATGCAATTAATTCATTTAATAATTCTAATAATGTGTTATGTAAATCTGATTCTTTTGTAATATCTTCTTTAAATTCTTTAATCAATGTTGTAGCAATATGTTCAAATGACATTTTTCTAACGTTAATATCTTCTTTTGATGTTAATGTTAAAAACTTAAGAACAAGCTGTTGTTGCTTAACATTTAGAGCAAAACGTATTAATCTAATTAATGAATGAAGAACAAATGGATGATAAACTAATACTCCTCCAACAGGTTTTGTAAATATTCCAAGATTTTGAACTTTATCAATATCAGGTATTTCAAAGATAATTGCAATTAATAGACATGTCATCCTTTCTGAATATTTAGACTTATTTTCTTCATTTAAAAATGGAGAATTTTGAATAAATTGAATTAATTCTCCATTTTTAAATGTTTCATCAAAATGTTTTCTATTATCTTTACTTCCTTTCATAGCATAAATCATAGCAACAAAACAATATTCAATAAATGAATAACGATCTTCAGTTATTCCATTTGTTGGAATACTTTCAAGTGACCAATTCCAATATTTATATAATCTTTTATAAAATTCAAATCCTCCTAATTGTCTAAATGATTCTTTTACTTGAGAACTTCTATATAACATTGCACAAACACATTTTAATAAAATAATTGGAGATGGATCTGTTTCTAGTGGCTCTATCATTTTCTTTAATAAATCAGTAGTTTGAATTGGATCATAATATTCAATAACGGCTGTAAATAACTTTGTTAAGTCTCTTCTTAAATTTATATTTTGTTTAAACAATGATAATGCAGCTGTCATAGCAGTAGTTTCTTTAAATAATGTAAAATTACTAACAGAATGATTCATTAATCGAGTGATTAAAGTAATCATTCCTTGTAAAACAATACTTTGGTTTGTTTCATTTGAATGAGTAGCAAAATAAATAAAAACAGTAATTGCATTAATAGTCATTCCTGTTTGTTCAAATATTTTTTGATATTCTTTACTATCAATAAGTAATTGATTTGTTAAATAATCAAATGCACTAACTAATTCAGGATGTTTATTAATTTTATCAATTGTTAAATGAGTTGTAATAGTTTCAATTTCATTATATGGCACAAATTTTTGGCAACGAGACAAATAAACACATAAAGAAAGCATAACATCTCTTACTGGTTGAGATACTTGATCAAATATTGAATATAATTTAGGTGTATAATTAATGGAATGTAAAACTAAATAATTCATTGGATTTTCACGATAGATTCTTTCAATTATTTTCATAGTATGTAATTTTCCTTCTTCACGATTTGTTTTTAATAAATAATTTTGTAAAAACAATGGAATATATTTATTTCTTACAAGGAAATAAGGATATCTATTTGCTAATATTCTTGTAGTATTATTATATTCATCATTTATTGGAATTGTTGGTGTAAAATCTCCAAAGAACATTAAAGGTGCTATCACATCTAAAACTCCATCAACTCCTGCAATTAATTCTTTATCCGATTCAATTAATAGAATTAATAGTACATCATAAAATCCATTGTTTGAAACACAATTTAAAATAGCATCAGATAATAATGCAGTATTTTTAACAAAAGAAAGATATGATTCAACAAGTCTTAATGTATCATTATTTGGTTTTGCTTGTTCAAGAGCTTTTATAGATATTTGTACTGACTCTTCTCTTGCAACCACTTGAATTAATTCTGGATCCATATGAGCGTGAGTAATAGTTTGAAACACAGGAAGTAAATAAATTTGAATATCAGGTTTATCAAATCGTAAAACTAATAATCCAGATGGTAAAGGTTTTTTTGGTATAGGAGGTACAATAAGAATAATCATTGACATCAATAACGATAATAAATCTGAATATTCATTCTTTTCTATTTGGATTAAAAAAGAATATAAGTCAGTAATTTTATTAACAAATTCATTACTATCAAATACTGTTAATATTTCTCCAGAACCAAATTGAGCTAAGTCATGAAGACATTTAAATAATTCTTGTCCATCTGGTAATGATTGTATTTTTGTACCTATTAACCAATTTAATTTATCAGTAGTAATAGGATTTAATGCCTTAATAAAAATATTAACCAATGTATTAGAGAATGTAGAAACCATTGGTAAATCACGTATTTTTTCACTTGGAATTTTAAAAAATGTTTCAATACATTTTTCTAACTCAGAAATATGATGTGTTGATAGATAACTTGTAAAATATTTATTAAATGAGATATAAAATTCATTTTTGTGATTCGGAAGTGTTACTGTGTTATTAGTTTTGGACTGTTTTTTAAATGACTTAAAGATACTCATATTAAACACAATAAATTATGAGTTCGTTCAACAATACAATTTATTAATTCTTTCTCTTTTTTTTTTTCCTTCACTTCAGTCTTTCTCTTCATTTAATCTTTTTAATTTTTCTTCCATTTTGAAACTTCTAACTTCATAAACTTTGCAAAAATTAAAAATTAAAAAAAAAAATTAAATCTCAAAATAAAAACAGAATCACGTTCTGACTTAGTTTTTGTGTTGACTCAAATGAAATTATTATTACAATGAACTAAATCACCGTAAGAATTAGGGAATTTTACACAAAAACTAAAGTAATACATTTTAAGATCTATTAACCTGAAAAGAGAAGAAAAAAAGAGATTTTAAAAATGACTACAATTTATTGACGTTCACCTCTAATTCTTCTAGCGAGTTGCATGTCTTTTGGCATAATAGTAACTCTTTTAGCATGAAGTGAACATAAATTAGTATCTTCAAAAAGACCAACAAGATAAGCTTCAGCAGCTTCTTGAAGAGCTGCAATAGCAGCAGATTGAAATCTCAAATCAGACTTAGATTGTTGAGCAATTTCTCTTACTAAATGTTGGAATGGTAATTTTCTTAATAAAAGTTCTGTTGAACGTTGATAAAATTTAATTTCTTGTAAAGCTTTAATTCCTGGATGAGAATGTCGTGCTACTGGTTTCTTTTGAGAAACACTAGCAACGGCTTTCTTAGAAGAGACAGCTGCTTTTTTTGAAGCAGACTTTGGGGCGTAGTATTTTCTCGGTTGTTTAGAAGTAGCAGGTCGTTCAGTCGTATTATTTCCTTTAGTTCTAGCCATCTTGAAAGAAGTGAATGGAATAAGTGATCTTGAGTTCTTGTTTAAATATCTTAAAGAAAGGAGGAGAGTCCAAATGAAATAAAAATTTATTTAATTTAATTACTTTTATTAATCATTTTATCAACAGAGAAAACTCCATTTTAACTAAGTTGAAATTTAAGATCGTCATAATTTAAAATTTGAGTTAAGAAGCTCTTTATTTCATTCTTTTAAACCTTTTTTCTCTTTTTTATATCTCCAAAATAATTCAAATTATTTACTACTGTTATTCATCTTCATTCCCATCTGTTTTACTTAACTAATTTAAGTATTTAATACCTTAGAAATAAAGAAATAAACAAACTTAAAACAAATGTTCTATAAATTTTTAGTTTACCCTTCTTTTTCTTTTTTCTATTATTTTTGTTTTTTTATTTTATTTTCTTTTTTTTATTTTCTTTTTTTTATTTTTTTTTTAAGATCGAAGGTGGCACGTCTGA